ATCTATCTATCTATCTATCTATCTACCTACCTATCTATCTATCTATCTATCTATCTAATTTCATATATATTGTTTATATTTATTGTATATTTTATATATAATATTTCACAACTTCTTTTATCATCACCATTATTTATCAAATGAAAGTTTTCATCTATATTTTGAGGGCATTCCCATCAATTTTATTAAAACTCTTCCATTTTTTGGATAGATTTCCAGCTCACAAAATGAAGATATTCACAGATTCTCATAATAAAACATCCCGATGATTTTAAGATTACTAAAATGCCATGTATTTTCTCCCTGATCATTTTTTGTTGTTGTTGTTAATTCTGGTGTTGAAGTACTTCACAATGGAGTATTGTACACTTTGCCAAAAGGAAAAGAGTGTTACATCAGAATGGGGCTGACCATAGAACTGAAACAGCAGTCATCATGCTCCACATGCCAATAACTTCCAACTTCTTGTCCCATTAGCAGCCCAAACCAAAAAATTTTGCTATGGAAGTTTTTATGTAGTTTTGTTATAAATTTCCATTATTTCAGGAGAATTATTTTATATTTTGTCGCACAAATCTTAATTAATCTTAAATAAAAACCTGGAGTCAGATACCAGGGTGAAAGCTGAAAGATCAGAGAAGCAGAGCAAGCCACAGCCACCACCTCTTACCTCACCAACTTCTCAGCCTGAAAGAGCCAGAGTTCCTGTCTCCTCCCGCCTTATATTTCTTTCTTATATTTCTTATAATATTTCTCTTCCTGTTTTAACCTTCCTAGTGCAAGGATTAAAGATGTGTGATCCTAAGTGCTGGAATTAAAGGTGTGTGCCACCACTACCTGGCTGTTTCTCTTTTAGATTGGAGTAATCTCGTGTAGTCCACTGTGGCCTTGAACTCACAGAAATCCAGGTGGATTTCTTCTCTGCTTCCTGAGTGCTAGGATTAAAGATGTGTGCCACCACTGCCTGACCTCTATGACTAACTCTGTGGCTGGCTTTGTCCTCTGATCTTCAGGCAAGCTTTATTTCTTAGATTACAAATATATCACCACATATTTTAATTTAAATTCTCCTTTAAATAAAATGACCAAGACAATGAAAAAAGATAAGAAAGAGTTTTAGGCCTAAAGGAACTGTACCTCTGGCATCCGAGAATCCAAGGATCAGTGGAATGAGAATGTTAAGTTATCTAATACTTACTAACCTCAAATGAAACCTATTTAAATGTTCTGTCATACCTCATTGGCTTTTACCAAACCAAAATGGAAAGTTAGGAACCATGGTGAGGCCACCATAAGGAAAGAAAGCCGCTGGCATTAACTATCTGATGAAGTATAATTGGCCAAATCATTCATTTCCTCTTAAGGTGCCTGTCACATTCTTCTAAATTATAGTCAGGATTCTTTTTCTTGGATGATTTAATAAATTCCCTCAAGAGCAAGGCATTGCCTAGAATAACATATTGTGATATTTGTAGAATAAATGGAATATTTTAATCATTTTTGCATACTCCCCTCAGCTATTGGGTTCTCCAATAAAAGAAAGGAATCAAGAAAAAAATGCTAATATAGACTGAATGCTGCAGCATGCAGCCACTCTGGGAGGTTTGGATTTTTGTCAGAAGTAAGATCCTAGATTCCTCACATCCTAGCAGCAAAGAGAATAAATAGAACCAGAACAGAAATTAGAATAAAATGTGCCGATGTGGTCTTGTATGTCTGCCTTTGTAAGTTTGGTATTTTAGCATACACCTAGTATCTATTCCAAATTAGTTTCTATTTAAGACATTTATTTATAAATAACTAAAATATATACATGTGCCACCTTTTCTGTGTTGTAGCTATGGACAACAATTTTTTCCTTTTACCTCAAAAATCTGGTTTTTACATATTTATTACCCAGTGAACTGAGAAAAGTGCTTTCAAGGCACAAATATCACCCCTCCCTCTTTTTATTTTGCCTTTGGTATTCATTCACAGGTGATAATATTTGACATTTATGCAGTTTCTATTATGTACTGGAGTTTTTCATACTTGAATTAGATTTTTTTGAAAGTAGCAAGTTAAAGATTATGTTGGGTTTTCCAATTGAGAATTAATTTACATTATATTCACAAATTTACAAGGTGTAGTAGTCAGAGTTGTCCCAAGAAATGAAACCAATAGGATGAATATTTTATTTATAAACAAAAATTACATATATATATATATATATATATATATATATATGTCAAAGCACAAAACTTCAAATAAATGTAAAAGAATCCATTGGCTCTTGTTAGTGGTCCATGTACTGATATGTATCTAGTCTATGAAAGAGAAAGTTGCTTCTATGAGTTAAACAGGGAGGGCAAGTTTTACAGACAGAATAAATCGAGGAAAGAAGGGCCAAGGAACAAATATAGGCGTAGGTGTTTTAAAGTTACTTTCACTATGATATATATATATATATATATATATATATATATATATATATATATATATGGTGGTTTGAAAGAAAATGGCCCCCAAAGGGACTGGCCTTTATAAGGAGGTATGGCCTTGTTGGAGTAGGTGTGGTCTTGTCGGCGGAAGTATGTCCCTGTGGAGGCCTGCTTTGAGGTCTCGTATATGCTCAAGTCATGTCCAGTGTCTCATACTACTTCTTGTTGCCTGCATATCAACATGTAGCAGCTCTTTCTCCAGCACCATGTCTGCCTGCATGCCACCTTGTTCCCTGCCATGATGATAATGGACTAAACCTCTGAAAGTTTAAGTGGCTACCTGTAGCTGATTGGTTTCCTGTGCCCACCTGGCTCCCGCATCCTCATAGTCCCACAGCTGCTCAGACCCAAATGAACACACAGAGGCTTATATTAATTATGAACTGTATGGCCTATTGGCTCAGGCTTCTTGCTAGCTAGACCTTACATCTTAAATTAACCCATTTCTATAAATCTATACTTTGCCACATGGCTCATGGCTTACCAGTATCTTTATATCTTGCTTCTCATGGCAGTGGCTGGCAGCATCCTAAATCAGTCTTCTGCTTCCCAGAATTCTCCTTGTCTGTTTTTCCTGCCTGGCTACTGGCCAATCAGCTTTTTATTTATCAACCAATCAGAGCAACATGTTCACAGCATACAGAATATCCCACAGCAGCCACCTCAGTTAAATGCTTTCCTTTATAAGAGTTGCCATGGTCATGCATCTCTTCACAGCAATAAAACCCTAACTAAGATAACATATAATATTATTACACAGTTTTGTTAGGATTTGGCCATTATTTTTATCCCTGTTTCTCAAAAGATGTGATCTTTCATTTAAAGAACTCTATCTACTTTTGATTTAGTGATGTGGAATTCTTTTTTTTATGAATGACTCAACTTTGAATTTCCTGTTTTTCTTTAATGTATATGTATTCATCAATGTTACCTATGCAGCATATATATGTGCATGCTAAATAATGCACATGTATACACACATACATATACTCAAGAGTATGATACAGAACAAAAGGAGAAAGAGAGAGAGAGAGGGATACTAAGCAGGGTTGTGGTGTCAGTCTGGAAGGTTGAAGAACTTGGAAAGAGTTGCCTGAGGCAGACTGATGGCAAAATTCTTTTTACTTATAGGAACTCAGACTACTTGCATTTATGTTTTCAGCTGATTGGGTAAGACTCATCAACAGTGCAAAGTGCTCTTTTCAGAGCTACAGATGTGTTAATGACATCTCAAACATACCTTACCTGAACCATCTAGAATAAAAATCACCAACTAGAAATTATGCCAAGAAAGTTCACCTTAAAACTAACCACTTTCCAGGTAAATATTATGATTCTATATCACAGATGGGCTTGGTAAGGCTCAGAAACATTAAGTGGGGCACTAGCAGGTTATTTATTATGGAACATGTTTATTGTATCCAAGGGGTTTTGATTTGGAAAGCCAAAGTGTTTTTCTCATATACATCATTTTTTTTAAAAGATTTTTATTATGTATACAGAAGAGGGTGTCATATCTCATTACAGATGGTTGTAAGCCACCATGTGGGTGCTGGGAATTGAACTCAGGACCTCTGGAAGAGCAGTCAGTGCTCTTAACCTCTGAGCCATCTCTCCAGCCCCACATCATTTTTTCATATTAATATTTTTTCAAACACACAGAAACACATTCTCACAGGGTCAAATCTACACTAAAATAAGCATTTAGTGTCTATGGCTGTATGTTTTATTGGTGTCTTTGTCTACTGATGAACTTTTACCAAGGATGATGGTCTAATGCCATGAAGAATATGCCTGCTATGATAAACATCTTTGCACTCCAAAGGAGTATTGAGCAAAGCTGGGAGATATTCTTTCTCTTACAATCTCTGGAATTTCTCCATTCATTCTTTACGTTCTTTCTATTTATTTTTAATCCTATATTAATTATACATAATAATAGGCATGATATTTTCATATGCATACATAATGCCTTTTGATTATATTTGCAACCAAAACCCTTTCTTGGTTAATTGCTCCTCTTGACACACTCTTCCTCTTATCTTGTCTTCCATTGCATGCCTTTTTTCTTGTGATCTCTGAAGTTTAGTTAGTTGTTCACAGGAGTATAGGTGGGGGATTATTTATTGAAACAACCTTGTACCGGTGACTAGATTGCTGAAGGAAAGGTCTCTCCACTTCCTACCAACCATAACTGCATTCAAAACCTCAGGGAGGAGTAAGCCCTGTTGAGCCCTTTCCTGGTCTAAGACAGAAAGTTGATGGCCCCAATCTTTAGCAGGCCTTGTGCTGGTAATCATATCAACTAGCAGTTCAAGAATGCAAGACTATGCCACATGGTGAAGGAAGGGTTCCACAAATAATTTACTCCTTCCTCTTCCTCTTATATTCTTTCTGGCTTTACTTCACAATATCCCCCGAGTCATGTAGGGGATGGCAGATGTTCCATTTAGAGCTCAGCTTTCAACAGTTATTCTCAATGCTTTAAACAGACGAGTCTCTGCAGTAACTGCTACTCACCGAGCAAAACGAACCCTTTTGACCAAAGCTGACAACAGCACTCATCTAGGGACATAAAGAAAAACATATTTAGAAAGCAACTTGACAGGTACATCATATCCAGTTAGCAAAATGACAGCTGTAGCTAGTCACTAGGGCCCATGACCTTCTAGACACAGGTTTATGACTAAGTCTATAGTGCCAGATGAAGATTTCTTCCTGGGAAGCAAGCCTCAAATTAAAAAAAAAAAAAGGTTGGTTATGCCCATAACAGATTTGCCATTATTGCACCAGTAAGCTCCTCTTGCCTGCGCAATTAGTAATGTAGCATTCAGGGTCCACAACTAAGACTGTTGATAACAGTTCTCCCCCAGCAGCCTAAACAGCACCTTCTGGTATTGCACAACTTGATTTCTCTGTTTTACAACCAAAGCAGGTGTGGTTTCTTTAGCAATAGTGTCCCTAGTGAGAAAGCAACAGCAACAGCAATAGTCTGTATTGCTTTGTGGGCCACAGGGACCTCTCTGACCAGTATCCCATGGCCGTTGGCTCACCCCAAACTCTCTTAATATTCTTGGGGACTCAACTACTTCTTTTATAGCAGATAGCTAAGCATTTCAGACGTTGTGCCTCAAAAGGCCAACGTGGGATTCCTCTTTCTCCCATTTTAAGCACTTCCCATTTATTCAGTAAATAGAGCTCTATCTAATCTTGGGGAAAGCATGAAAGATTATTTCCAGATGAGTTTCAACTACATTTCCAGCTGCCGTTTTAACCCTCCACACAGCAGCCAGGATATTCTTGCCTCTGAGCATTCAGGAGCTCATAGAATCCCTGAGAGCTTTGCTCTTGTGTTTTTCTTCCCCAACAGGTGAGTTTGTCTTCTGACTTCTGCTCTGACTGTTTTTCCATTTCTCAACTAAGCTTTCATTACCACTCCAGCCATTCTCCTTTCCTCTGTCACTGAAGAGTGTAATTCATGTTTGCTCTTTCAAATGCAGAATGATCTCTTATTTATGCATTCCTCTATCAGTCCAAAGGGAGTTCCAAAATCAAAGGCAAAATGTCTACTACCTCAGAAGACTGCTCTGTATGTAGTCTGCAACATAGATGCTCAATAAATGTTTAATATCTGATGTAATGCGTGAACTAGAGAAGGAAACCGGGGTTTCTGGGACAAGGGCACAGAGGCTCACAGTCATACCCTACTCCTGGAGTTCCTCTTCAGTCTTCCTACCCTATCGTCCAGAATCCCCGCCCACTCCTCACGGGCCTTGGGAAGGGGAGGGCTCTGCGCATGCCCCGTATCCAGGGCAGCCTCCGGGAGCGCCTCCCGGCCCCTCCTGGCGCTCGGGCGTGCGTTCACGGTCCCGGGGAGCGTGCCCTGCGTGCGGGTGCTCGCCTAGCCCGCCGGGCTCTGGATCCTTGAGTGCCCGGGCCGGGCCTGCGGAGCGGGCACCTGGTCGTAGCCGCGAGCGGCGGTAGCGTCGGGAGCCACGCAAAACGCGGACGGTGAGTGCAGGCGAGTGGCGGTGGCTGCGCGCGTGCGCGGCGTGGGCCCAGGCTGGGACTCGCGCCCGGAGGCGGGAGTGGCCGAGCTGGGGGCGCGGGCGGTGGCGGGCGCGGGGGGGCGCGAGCTCACGGAGCTCACGGAGCTCACGGAGCTTTGGGCGGGGTGCATGGCCGAGGGCCAGGACCAGGGCGGCGGAGGCGACCCCGCTGAGGGCGAGGCGAGCCGGGCCGCGACCGGGCAGACGCCGTGGGCCACGGGACCTCGGTGGGGGCGGAGGTCCGGGACAGGGTGGCGGCCACCTTGCACAGTGCAGGGCCGAGTCTGCTCTGAGCGTACCGAGAGCACCGAGGGGCCCGAGCAAACTTCCCCCAAGAAACTTATTGGGGCGTGTCCGACGGGTCCCGGACTAGGGATTCTGGGGACCCACGCCTTGCCTTTTAGCTTTGGTCCCCTCAGGTGTGTCTTCGAAGGGGGTCCTGTTGCTGCTGCAGTGCGTCCTCCCAAGTTTCGAGTGCCTTGCAGGGCCCATTTGCTCTAACGTAGATGTTGAAGTTTGGTGGCTTGGTTGTTTGCTGTCTTGGGAAGAAAAGACTGTTACTGCCTTTATCTCAAATAAAGTATTGCTAGGGTGTGCTGCCTATTTTGTGTGTCAAGCAATCTATTGTTCCGTGTGCCGGTGCAGAAGACTAGCTAATTCTTCTTCTTTTTGGTTTGTTTTTTTTAAAGAAGGCCAATGGTATAATTAGGCGTTTTCTTTTTGAAATACTCCCGCCACCGCTGTAACTCCTGCTCTAGGACAGTTCTCAAACTTGTCTGTGCGGGAGATTGGCTGGCGAGTTTTAAAACTCTCCCGTGCTCTCGTTGCACTCTAGACAAATTCAGACACAAGGCATTTGTTTGTAAAAGGTCTGCATGTAATCCTAAGAGCTGTAGAATTCAGAGACACTCGGATAAGAAGAGAAGGTCAAGACTAGTTTTAGAAAGTAGTAGCATTCGGTTTGTACTTGCTGGGCTGAAACTCTAGTTTATTCTTCCTTGTCCGGAACACACAACAGTGGTTTGTTTCCCCCACTGGAAAGGGGGGAAAGCGTCCCTAACGGTCAGACTTGAGCTAGACTTTATGACTCTGGTGTTTTGAATTCCTGTTGGAACTCCTCCTCGTGCACCCCTTTGGCTCCTTGTTACTTACAGCCGCGAGTCTCTCATTTTAACCGTTCCTCCCAACCCTCTCCCAGGGCCCCATATTTAATGTACCTCAGTGTCTGGGAGAATATCCCTTGGGCTTACTGGTGGTGTTGAACCTAAAGGGTTACTGTGGGTTCCCATAGCAATGGGTCCCCCAGGGGAAGTGGGCGGGACCTCTTACCATGGGGTCTAAACAGGACTCTTCCGAAGGAAGATTTTAATTGACTTCTGTCAGTTCTTTGACCTCAGTGCAGGTGCAGGTTATTCTATTCTAGGCTTTCATTCTAGGATAATTACTGATTGGCATAGAAGGATACTTCTTAGGGCTACGTGCTGGTCGCTCAGTACTCTAGCCCTCACTCACCCCTTCTCCAAATCCTCCTCTGCCCACACTTGATTTGTTTAGCAAAGTTCCATGTTCCTGACTTTTCCCCTTCCACACACACAAATCTGTGAATTGTAAACCATGTTCTTTTTTTTTTTTTTAAAGAACTAAGACAGTTAATGTTTAGCAGTTTATAAACATAAAATATCCTACAGCCATGCAAAGCAAAAAGGAAACAGAAAAAAAGAAAAATAAATCAACATATTGTGAGAGGAAAAAATGCCGCTGTCAGCGTTTTAAGTTGTTTGATTCCTAGAAGGTTATTTTCCCAGACTAATTTCAAAAACTCAAACCCCTTGAGTAATGTCATCCTTTAGAAATGACAAAGGGAGAGACATAGAACTCCTTCCTTCTCCAGCATTCAAAGGTCAGTTAAAAAACAAACAAACAAAAAGCCTTGTGAATACAGCAGGACAGAAATATGCTGCTTATGCTCTCCAGATTTGGTGTTTTGAAATCTTTTAAGCTTCATGGTAAGTAATGAGTGTAGTGGATCCCAGTGTGTCATTAGGTTTGCATTGATTCTGTGCATGGATTGGGCATCTTCTCTTGTTTCTGGGTGCAAATTCAGCTTCTGGTAACTTGCCTTCAACCAAATTCTGCAAATTCACCATTGAACTGTGAGAAGGAGTGATGGTGGGGATCTGTAATCTGGACCTGGGAACCTCAGGTGCTGAAATAGGAGGGGTTTTGTTTGTTTGTTTGTTTCTTTTTACCCATCACACCTTTTTTTCATCACACAGTGAAAACTACCACCCTAAGTTCAGTCTAGTTGTCCAGTAAAAGATCCTTGAGGATGGGTATTCATATACTGTAATTGATAAATCCTTTTGAAAAGTTTTTTTTGTAGCTATAGCTGAGAATTTCTTTTGTTTCCGGGGCTTTTTAAGCATCTTAAAGCAAACAACAGCATTTACCTTTATTTCAGACTTCTGGGGATTACTGCAACAAATATAAGGAAATTAAAATCATAGTCACATCCCCGGGCGGTCACCATCTGTTAATTGCTTTTTCCTTCCATTTGGCTTTTTGTGTTTCCCTGCAGAAACAAAGTTGGCTTTTCAGTGTTTCTGTTTGTCTGTGGAAATGGTCTCACTACATAGCCCAGGCCTGCCTCGGACTCACTGTGTATTCCAACCATCCTCCTGCCTCAGCTTCCTGAGTACTGAGATTATAGGCATGTACCATCATACCTGGCTTAAGTACTTTTAAATAGAACCTTTTAATTAGCATTATATCTCAAATGTCTCCTCTGCCATTAAATCATGTGAAAATAAGATTTTTTATGATGGATATGCCCATTTGCTTGAGTTTTTTTTATTTGTTTTTAAATACTAAACTCCATTTTCACCATTGAGAATATGCTGTTAGATTCTCAGGTTGCAAAGCCTAGATTGCCCTTGCTAGGTGGCCTTAATTAGTGTTTAAATCTGCTTTCTTGGGATAAGGATAGCTGTATTGTAGAGCTGCGGGGAGATGGAATGAACCAAATAGAAGAAGGCCAGCAGGTCATGGGCTCCGTGCAGTCCTGGGAAACAGGCACAGCGGAGGTCCATGCCCTGTGTGAGAAAGTCTTAGTGGCTGTGATAGCTTGGGCTAGATTTACACCCAGGAAACAGGTGCACTCTTCAATGGTTGCTGAGGCTTGTTAGCTTGTTCCTTCTTTACCCACTCTGTGGTCAGGTGTTCCAGCACTCCAGTGTTTAATCCTCCCTGGTTTTTGTAAAGCTTTATTAAGTTGTAATATTGAAAATAGTAACTTATTGCTGTGGGAGTTGTCCATGCTAGTACCATTTCTACTTTACTTTTAAATGATAATTTTCTTAAAAGTAAGTTAAATATATGTTTTCAAAAAATACTGTGAGACTTTCATATATAGTTTTTAAATTGTTTTTTTGTTTTGGTTTTGGATTTTTGAAGTCGAGTTGGTATTTATTAAAAACTGCATATGTATTTTCAGAACGAGGTTTAAGAGGAGAGGTGCTCAAGATGGAAAGGTTTATTTGGAAGTGTAAATGTGAACTCCTCACAGAGGCATCACTTTGTTACTCATTAGTAACTTATGCTACAGTGTTTTCCCGACAACAAAATACTTCCATTTTTTTTTTAAAAAAAGCACATTTTACTATATATTATAATGTACTGCACATTATTTTCACAATTTTATATTTCCATGTTTTTAAGGCCAGTTGTCTCACTTGTCTTTTATGGTTGATTTTTTTTCCTTATAAACAGTTTTGTTTGACAGGCCCAGCGGTGATGTACATAAAACATAAATGTTGAAGATTGACTGTTAGCCCTTCTTTATCTACACACCAATCCCAAAGCTTAATGCCACAGTCTTAGATTTAGAAGACATAGAAAAGTGATAGATCAAGTCACATGATTTAAGAAATCGTTTTATTTACCTGTCCTTTCAGATAAAGATGTTAGATTTAAGTTAATCTGTACAAAGTTTTAAATGTCTCCCAGATGTGTAATATCGGTGGCCTCTTATCCCAGTCCCCTAGTCTGTCTCCCACGTGGTAACTGATGAAAATGAGGACATGACTGCTCCTAGGTGTCCTTGAGAAGGGTTATTGTAGATGTGAGGGAGAGCACAGCCAGGGACATCAGGAAGGGTCCACACTGAACTGGGCCATGAGAGGAGTGAGAGGGGAGAGTGAGAGAGGAAGAGAACAGAGAAGACCAGGAAAGCACATGGAGACCAAGAGTGTCAAGAAACTGTGTGGCTAAGATGGTTGTGGCCATATAGGGATCAGAGCTGGGGGAGTTGCCACAGTACTGAGTGAGACTTGTCCTGGGTCTCTTTGAGACCTAGCAGTAACCAGTGGGGGCTGTTGTTGTTCTACTGTGGATTTCACTGACTACTTGTCAGGGTTTCTTCTTGGACTGGTGAAAGTGGTCTTTCAATGTCCTCCACTGAGGGAGGGTCTGGAATTCACAGAGGAGTTTGACTGGGTCTCATCATACTCTTTGTGTAGTTACTTGAACTTATGTGTTTGGTTTACTTGTCCAAGAGCACGTCTTCAGTCTACCTGGGTTCTGGAACTGTCAGTGTCATACAGTAAGAAGGTGGAGAGGGCATCTAGGGAGTTCAGGGTTTCTCAATCAGTCTTCAACTCTTTGTCCTCAGAGTGAGTCACAGCACTTCTTGATGTTCCTCATTGCTGGTCCTTCTCAGGTTGGCTAAAATGCTTGGTTGCCCTGTCTCCATGTTTTTGGTCTCTGCT